TGTTACTAGAAGATGACTACAGAGATGACCTAAGAGTAGAGAGCATCTCGGGACACAAGCACTGCTGTGGGCCTGACGTGACGTAAGAAAGTGCTTTTGCTCTCGAAACGTCTGCAATTATAGGTATAGCTGGTGACTGGTGAATTCCAAACGTTGATAGGTAGAGCATTATAACATTTGGAAACGAATAAGTAAAAGTAGTATAAAAAGTAGAGATGTATGAACATATAAACTCTGATGCTTGAAATCGTAATTTTCTTGTTATGTTTTTAACAAGCAAACACTTCTCAATCATCCAACAACTGTTTTACCTCAGATCATGTAAGCCATTTCAACAATTCGCTAATAGGATTATGTACGGCCTCCCAGGTTTGATAGAAACTGATCTGGATATAAAAGACCCTCTTTTTTATAACGTTTATTTACATCATCTGACACATACACACACATTCATCATATAATTCATACACATTCATCATAAAAGACCCTCTTAAGGACAACAGATCAATCCACCAGATGTCTCTATCCATACGAAGATAGCAGTAGGTGTCCGGAGCACCTGCTCTGACCGGCGCCCGGGGGGTACGGGGGCGGCTGCAGATCCGCCTGTGCCGGACCCGCTCCCCAAGGCTGTCTGCCCATCCGGCCGGCATCGGTGGTCGGCCTTCGGAGCGAACAGCGTCCTGGACCACACCCAGTCCGCCGGCGGACGTGTCATCCTCGGCCCTGCACTGCTGCTTCGGCAGCCCATCCTCGGCCCTGCACTGCTGCTTCGACAGCCCATCCTCCCCTGCACTGAGGTGATTCGACAGCCCATCCTCCCCTGCACTGAGGTGATTCGATCGATTCGATCGACCATTCTCCCCTGGACTGCTGCTTTGGTCGAGAACCCTCTCCTGCACTGCTAAGTCGACCCTTCGCCCATTCTCTTCCTCGCAGTTACTCTGACCACCCATTCTCCTCTGCAATACTGATTCGCCGACGGCCGACAGTCCGTTTTGGCATCGTGTGAGTGCAGTCCGTAACACATGGTATCGGCTCTTGATATTTTAGCCGAACACTTGGCAGTTAGACCAGTACTTTTATGAAATAGTGACAAAAACAGAGAGAGAGAGAGAGAGAGAGAGAGAGAGAGAGAGAGAGAGAGAGAGAGAGAGAGAGAGAGAGAGAGAGATCCGGTGTGGTGATTCTCCTTTGGCTTGACTTGTCGTTGGAAAAATCTCAGGAGTCTGTAAAAAAAAAAAAAAATCCCGCATAATCCACTCGGCACTCAACCAATGTTATAGCAACTTTGACCTAATAGGTGCTCGTCTTAATGAGTCTGTTCGATACTGTCGTCGAAATTACATCAACTGATCATCCGCGGCTTATCGCTGCAGTTTGTCACGATAACACTCGGTCGTGAGTCCCCGTAATAGGGCTCCTGGACCACCAGCCCGTCTGAATTCAGCAGCCTCACTGGGATAGCCCGATTCGCATCACGTAGAAAAGATAACACGAAGTGGGTCTGACCTGGCGCAGTGCTGCAGTTACATGCACCGTGAAGCAAAGTGAGGCAATCAGAGTGACTTAGCGTGCTAAATCAGTAACAAGTTTGTCAGCTGTACTAATCACATAACATTTTGGAGCTGTTTAGGCAATGCATGGATTAGTAGCGCCAAGCATTCAGAGTATGGGCACTGGTCTTCATCCTGTTATAGGATCGCTCCATATGTCATACCTTCGAACTAGTGTCGAAATGAGGGAACTAGAAAGGTGGTTTGAAGGTTTCAATTGATACTGTTTCTGTCTTACATTAAGTTTTACTTAGGTAACATAATTAACATCGGAACGATGTCGTGTCGCAACCTTGGTAACGTTTCTGCTCATACAATGCCAATTTGGAAATAAACATGTCTTGCATAAAGCATTGCACCAAGTATTTCCACAGTGGACCTTGTACTGACATGCTATGTTTTGATGCCCGTAATACTCTGAAAATAATCACCCATCTGATCACAGATCGTGCGGCCGTTGTCTGCCATCACTGGCCGGAAGTGTGCCGGTCCCCGTTTCCGGCGAGCCGTCCCGTGGCGGAGACCACGCGGCGATGACGAAAGGTCCCGGCGGTGACCGCACTGCGGTCGGCCCCTCACGCCGTGGGTCTGTTGCGAAAGGGAAACCGATCCACTCTGGGGTCGTGCTCTGCGCCCGCCCGCGGTGGGTGACCGCCGGGCTGGGAGATCAGGCCGCGGCGTGGGTGATCATGTGAGCGCGGCGTATCTGTATGGACAAAAGACTTCACAGCTCGCTGGTAAGTTAATCTCATCTTATCAAAACTTATTATCTTAATCAAATTATCAAAATGTTGCATACAAGATCGTGGATGTAGATTTTTTGTTCGTTTATTCTAAACATAACAAACAGAAGTGATTCAGTGACTGTGAAAAGTTCGGCGTACCACATAATGCAATAAAGAAATAAACGTGCATCATTGAGTACAGATACATTAAATGCGGATTTACTGCCTTCTAGGATTCAGATTATTCTCAAATTCCACCATCGCATGAAGCACGTGCACTTTGGAGCACTCGATATTCATTCTTTCCTCCACCTCTCTCTCTCTCTCTCTCTCTCTCTCTCTCTCTCTCTCTCTCTCTCTCTCTCTCTCTCTCTCTCCCTCCCTCCCTCCCTCTCTCTCTCTCTCTCTTCTATCTCTCTCTCCCTCTTTCTTCCTCTCCCTCTCACTCTCTCTCTCTCTCTCTCTCTCTTTCTTTTTTTCTCTCTCTATCTTTTATCTACCACCATCCATCGCCGTCTAGCTGACCTCGCACCGGCAGCCATGCAGGCGGCAGAGGTGGCAAGTACATATACCGCCCGTCCCGCCCGAGGGCAGCAGCAGCGGCAGCGGCCGACCCACCCCGCCCCGGGCGGACCGTGCCCTGCCGAGCGGGGTTCAAGGTGCCCTCTGCTGCCGGTATATGGCGTGGTTGCCGAGTCCCTGGCGCGGCAGAGCCGTCTGTTCCCGTGCACAGGTCAGGGTGGCGGCTCAGCTTGTCACACAGACCGGAAACAGTGCAGATGTAATGTCTCTGGTATGGGAGCGGGAGTTTTTACCACCGCTGCAGCGAGCCTCGTTAGTTCAATGCTAGGTGGTTAAGTCAGACAACAGCGTGTGAAAACGGCTCTGTAGTGCCGAGGAGACTGTTCTGGAGTCTGCTGAAGTGAGATTAAGTGAGGACTAGGGATTAGGGTCTAGGCGTCTTGGATTTGCTTAGAGCGTGATCTAGGCTCTGAAAGTACCTACTATAACAAAGAGCTTGCGATTCGAGATGAGAGATGACACTAACAATGCGTTAATTGCACGTTACAGCTGGCAGGATCTTTTTTGCGAGAAAAAAATGCATGACTTTTGATAGTGTGATAAAAGGCTTCCATTGTCTCTGCTCTTTGTTTCATCACGATTTAAGCATGCTGCCTAAGTAAATGGAGATGTGTCCAAATTGTAGATTAGTAAAAATTATGTGACATCCCCTCTCTTATCAGCGTATGACGTGTAATCATTTGAGGCTCGCTCATTTTTACAATACTAACTACTCGACATTACCTCACTCAAAAGTTTACAGACCCTTCTCAGCGTCCCTTGTGCATGTGCAGCTTTTTGCAATGAACTGTTTCAACAGTAGTCGGTTGCGTTTTTGACGCATATACTATGTCACTATCGGTCAGATTGCACCACTGCCAATCTCTGGCCGTTCCCATCACACCCATCGGCATTGCCAGACCTGTTCTCCGGTCAAATTACCGAGACGTATTTCAAAACCCGGTCCCTGGGAACTCTAACAAGTCCCAATCGTCCCGATTGGCGCGGGACACGACAGTCGACTTGGCGTCGTTCACAGCCAAATCCCACCCGGGCCTGTTTAGTATGGAGTCATTGATAAGTCGGGACGCAACCGGAACGGTCCCTCCCGGCCCGTCTGGCGTCTCGGTCCGCCGAACTTCCGCACCGCCTCGACTCACCGCGCCGGCCGTCTCCGCGAGAGTCGGACTCACCCAATGACTCGCGACTCACGCCCGGCCCCGCGGCGAACTGACTCAACTCACCGTGACCTTTACCGGTCAGCCGCAGGGAGGAGGGGGCGCCTCAGGAGGAGAATGGCTCCGAGACGGGGGTGCAGACACCGCCCATAACGAGCGCCGACGGTATTTCGGGCAGGGCACTTTCACTTGGAGCGAACGGACACGCCTACCCCGCCTACTGGCGCGGCGCGGGCGGCGGCGATAGCCAGGGCGACGGTGACTGGTGGCGATGGTGACTGCAAGCGATGGTGGCGGTGGCGGTGGGCGGTGGTGGCGGTGGCGGTGGGCGGTGGTGGTGGCGGTGGAGACGATGGATATCACAGCGGCAAGGTCGAGCTCTGCTAAGTAACGGCGTTCAATTAATGTTCCTACGTCACTCCCATTCGCATCAACTAGCTATGATCGCTAGAGAAGCACCGCTCTCAAGGCTTCCCACTCTCTCTAGAGAGAGGAGCTGCGCACGACTCGGTCATTAGCTGACCTTTGTGACCCGGCTGACCCTCTGTGACCTTTGGCTGACACCCACGCTGCCGCCACTCTCCCTTTCGCATTCGATCGTTAGATGCCGGCGCCTGTGATGACGGTGTGGGCTCGACTGGCGATAGCTTGATGAAACGGAGATATCGTGAAAGCGAAACGGGCGATCGATAATTTTCGCCGATGCTCACATGCTGGTAGCATCTGGATGAGCAAATATATTAGTCATGCAGCAAATTAAACTGCCCATGAGCTGATGATGAACGGACGTGCGATATGTAACTCCGAAAAGAAAAGAGGCGAGGTTATTTCCTGTTGAGGCTGGTCTTTTGGAAGATATTCGCGTTTTCTAAAGTGTTATTTCTATTTTTTGATTGCATTAAAGCAAAAACATGCAGACAGCTGGCAAACTGTCTTCAGGTTTCCGTGAGTGCTTTGAGATGTCAAATATGTAAAACAGCATTGGAAGAAAACATGTATTCAAAAGTCGACAACGTATGTACAACTCTATGTACAAGTTCAGCGCTGCTCAGCATGTAATCTAGACATGAATGCATGCTTTCCTAAACTGTGTACATCTCAGGGCACACCGGATGACATATGAGTATTACAAACACAAACATTGTTTCATCTCTGCACCAACTCTTACCATAAATGGAAAGACTTGGCAGCTCTACATGACGATTGCAATACTCACAACGGGTCAATTTAGAGAAACGGGGGATCTCAATTTTCCAGCTAAAGAGCGCGCAAAAATATCATCTTTGTTCGGCTGCCTTGTTGGCGGTACCACCATTTGTGAGCACACACACACAGAGTCCACTTAGACAATGACTAGTAGTCGGGACACTCAGTGGTACAACAACGCAGAAAATCCTCGTCTAGACGCGCTAGCCCTACATCTGGCCAAGCTATACAATAACAACAGCGTCTGGGCGACGTATCGCCCCGTGTCAGCACGGCGGGCGGACGTTCAGTGTGACGTTATGGTGACGTCACATGAAGTCGCCGCTCCTCTAGCCCTGGCCCTGACCGAAGAAGTTGATGGGCGCCGGCGGGCGGAACTGGCCCTGCTGCTGGGGCGGGGCGGGCGCTCCGCTGAACTGGCCGAACGGCTGCGGAACGCCGAACCGCGAGAACACCGGGTTGGCCACCTGGGTGCCGAAGCTGACCTGCTGCACGGGCCGCGCGCCGCTCGAGCTCGGCGACGAGTCCGACTCCTGCTGCTGCTGCTGCTGCGGCTGCGGCTGCGGGGACGGCTGCGGGCCCAGGAAGATGGGGCGCGGCTGCGGCTGGCCCGGCTGGCCCGGCTGCGGGCGCGGCTGGTTGAACACGGAGAACACGGGCCGCTGCTGCTGCTGCTGAGGCGGCTGCGGGCGGTTGTTGAACACCGAGAACGGCTGGCGGGTCTGCTGCGGCTGCGGGGGGCCGAACTGCTGAGGCTGGCCGAACTGCTGAGGGGGACGGAAAGGCTGAGGCGGCTGGTTGAAGGCCGTGAACGGAGGACGAGAAGAAGGCTGCGGGGGAGGGAACGAGGCCAGCGCCGGCCGCGGCGGAGGGGGACGAGTCGTGGGAGGGGGAGGGGGAGGGCGAGTGGTGGGCGGCGGCGTCGGGCGCGGCGTCGGGGGCCGGGTCGGCAGGTTCGCGAACACGTTGTTCTGGAACGGACGCGGGGTGGTGGTGGTGGTCGGTCCCGTGCCGAAGGAGTTGATGTTCTCTCCGATACGAATCTCGGTGCCCTCCGGCAGAGTCTGGACCAGGTCAGTGCGGTGCTTGCCCGTGGTCGGGTCGAAGACGAGCTGGTGGTCAAACTTGCCGCTGACAGCTGCCTTGGGCCGGCCCAGGGCGAAGTCCTCGTCTCCCTCGTCCAGGGGACGCGGGGCCGGCGCCGTGGTCGGGCGAGACTGGATCTCGCTCAGGGCCTCGTCGAAGTTGAAGACGCCGCTGATGGCGGGGCGCGGGGGCTGCGGGGAGAAGGGACGCGGCTGCGGGGTGAACGGGCGCGGCTGAGGCGTGAACGGACGCGGCTGAGGGGTCACGAAGGTCGGCTGGGTCGGCTCCGGACGACGCTCGGGCTCGACGCGGATGGTGGGCCGGAAGGTGACCGGGGGTCGCGGCGCGGGCCTCTGCGGCTCCTCCTGTGACTCCTGCTGGAAGCCGAACGTGGGCCGCGGCCGGAAGGTGACAGGCTCGGGACGCTCGAACTGTGCCTCGGTGGGCTGCGGGGCGGGCGCGGGCGCGGGCGTGGTGCGCCGGCGGCTCTGCTCGGGGCGCCGGCTGCGCACCGGCTGCCGGAACTGACGCAGCTCCTCCTCGGGCAGCCGCTCCTCCTTGGTCTGCGAGATGAACTGGGTGTTGGTCGGGATGCGGATCGGCTGGTCGTCGAGCGGGTCCACGCCGCCGGCCAGGCTGCCGTCCTCCTCTAGGATCGGGAAGCCCTGCTCGTCGAACAGCGCCTCCTCAGTGGCGGTCTCGTCGCACGGGTTGCCCGACTCGTAGGTGAACTCGCGCTTCACGCCCTCGGGGTCGATGTAGCCGTACTTTCCGCGCACAACGCAGTCCGTGCCGCGCGTCTCCTCCTTGAACGAGCCGTCCTCAGCCTCGTAGCCGAACGTGAACGAGCCGTCCTCGTTGTAGTAGGAGTAGTTGCGGATCGTGCCGACCACCTCCTCCTTGCGGTTGAGCTGGCGGCCGCCGGACGAGCTGACGGGCTCGGCCGGACGCTGGCGGCGCGGCGCCGACGTGGGTGCGGCCACGGAGGGCGCCGCCGGGCGCCGCGCGGACACCAGGCGCTGGCGGACCTCGGGCTCGGGCTCGGCGGGCCGCTGCAGGAACACGGGCTCGGGCAGCGTCGGCTCCGGCTCCGGGCTGAACCGGGCCGGTGCGCTGGTGGCCGCGAACGAGGGGAACGTGCGCGGCGCGAACGTGGTCACCGGCGGCTCGGTGGTGGGCGCCTCGGTGGCCGGCGCCGCCGTGGTGGCCGGCTCGGGCCGCGGCCGCCGGATCACCTTCACTCGCCGGCGAGCGCTGCCCGGCCGGCGCACCAGTATGCGCTTGCGACCGTCCTCGCCGCTGTCCTCGATGGAGACGGCGCCGTCAATGACATCGGCCAGCCTCTCGCGGGAGATGAGCCGTGCCCTGGTGCGGCCACGGCCCCGCAGAGGGGCGTCATCCTGGGCCAGCGCCGCGCAGAGCAGCGCGCCCACCAAAACCTGCCGGGAAGGAGGGGGCCGGTCAGTACTGGCAGCCTCCGGCGGGTGGATAAATGCAGCTGTTGGAAATTTACAGGAGATAATGCAAATTGGTTTACAAATTATCTGCAGCACAGGTAGCAGTTACGCTGGGCAGTCCATTATGCAGGAAAGCTTGGAGGAACTGAATTACGTTGTCGTGCTGCTCGTAGCGCGCAACATGACAGGTACTTGCAGGTCAAGCGTGGCGAAGAGGAAAGCTATGAAGCCATGCGTGACGAGACCAGTGAGGAAGTGGTTATACGCGGGCGAGACAAACGCTCAGGGAAGCGGAACAAGAGATCGATGATGGCAAGCCTGTCAGAAAGCCAGCTGCTACGCCTGGGATTGAAAATAACGACAGATATGATCACTCTCTCGTTAGTCGTTGCGTCACTGCTTCTCACCATCAAGAAGATACATTCAGCAAGTCAGGCTGACTGGCCGAGAACAACGACGAAATGGCCATTCACGGCCGCAAAGCGTCCCGTATTTCGTGGATGCAATTTGTGCGGTTATTGCGCCGTCGCCGGGCGCTGGCCACCCTTAATTACTGACCATATCGGCGTGTGGTAACCTCGCGCCGGCGCCGTCACCTCGAGAAGTGGACCGGTCAGCCGGCTCTGTTTTTCTCAGGTGCACCGCTTCGGGAAACGCACAAGGTCGCGCCGGCATAAAGCCGCAGCCGGCAGCGGGCCCCGCCGAGCGGCGCACACTTGCACTACATATTGCCGAAATTGCGCAACAGAAATTGTCAAAGGTGGCTGCGGACCTGCGCCCATGCCTCTGAGATGTATAGATAGGGTCCGTGTCGAAACTGGGAGCTGAGTGACCCTTGCGGCGCCGGGGCGGCCGATTACGTCACAGGTCACCGCCGGCCGCCGGCCGAGGCCTGCAGCGGGACTGCCGGCCGAGCCCTGTTTACTCGGGGGTGCTCCAGTAACCTTGGGCGGGGCGCCCGAGCCGGCGCGACAGCACCAGCAGCTCGGGACCGGCCCGCCGGCTCCTCAGGGGTTGAGAAACGGGACTGAGAAACTGGGGCAGCGGCGGCGGGTGGCGGCCCCCGGTGCCCGGCCAGCGAGTGAGCCGCCGGCGCCCAGTTACACAAGACGCCCGCCGCCGTCGGCAGCGGGTGTTTACGACCGGTGATCGGCCTTGACGGAACGGTAACACACACCTTCGCCGGACGCTGCCGCCGGCGCTTTTATGACGGCTCGTCAATGGTGCCGCCTGCGGGCGTAATCAGTGGCTGACACGTGCTGGCGTGTCTGATTTTATGGTCATAACTCGAGTACAAAAAGAGTTATCCAGCCACATTACGAGCTTTAAGAGAGCAGTCTAACGATCGAATGAATCGGACATAGAATAGCATTACAATGTCACATTACATTCGTTCGAGTAGTTTCGACACCCGACATTTGATGCTCCTGACGGGATCGTTTACGATTTGCATAGACTTCCATAGCCTGAAGACGTCTTTGCGTAGAATATTATGCTATAATTGGGTGCGCTTAACAATGGGTTCTGGATTGACCGTGGTTGACTTAACTACCATCAATTTTTTGATCGGTTCGTAGTGTCAGATTGTGCACAAAAGCTCTGTTTAGTGCGAGCTCGGAGTTTATCACGCAGTTCGATTAAAGTGATTGATCTGAATTTAGGTTTAATCAAGGGCAGTTAAAAATTGTCCGTTTTAGAACACTCTAAAGGTCTTATTTCAGGCTTAAATAAGAATGTAGGTATCACGGCAATTTTGCTCACTGCATTAGCATTTTGATTACATAACACGGATGCTATCTAGATCCGCTCTAAAAAAAAGCGTTACGAAAGGTCCATAAACTGATCTTTCTTAATGAACGCTAAACGTACAGCATTGTTTCCTTTTTGTTGGTGGCTGACCACAATCATAAGCAACACAAGATTGCATAAATTTTATGACCATGGCACACCGCATTTTATTAACTGGATGTCAACTAATCTCCGCCGACTATATGACTGTCAGCATGTAAATCAGCCCTTAAATTAGTAGAAATCGAGCTACCAAGTGACGTTGATCGGCCACATGATTTGTGATCGGTCTCATGAGGTTTCCAGAGGCAAACAATTTTGTCGCGAGACAGATAATTTTCTATTGTGAACTACACATGGCGGGACGAGCACGTCAAAGTCAGCCTGTCATTTGATAAGGCAGCTGAAATAATGATCTGTCGAGCCGTTTGGGTTAGTAGCATGACTTTGTTTAATATGTTTAAGGAGTGAAGAACGGGATAAATCAGACACTTATTATCACGACACTTCTGTTACGCAATGCCTCACAATTCAATGTTCCAAACTTTAAATGTCAAATAAAGGAGAAAACTACAAGAAATGAGTAACAATTAGGAAAGATATTTACACTCTGCGGTCTAAAATAAGATATTTTTAGCATATGATTTTGAATAGATGATAATTTACCTATAAATTTATGACATAACTGTGCCTATATTATAGCTATTTCCCTATAAAGGTAGTGTAAATAAAGCAGGCCACATTAAAGGAACAGAGCCGCAAAGGAAGTCATCAGGGCCTTTTAAGATGCGCAATTCGCCGCTAATTGAACGATATGAATAAAACAGCTCAATCGTTACAATTTTTACACTTTGAAAGTATTGTTCTTACTTTATGAAAGGGCCATTTTTGATGCATAAACACCAGCACAATAGAGTTTAGTTGAAAACATTCGCAAATACTGAAAACAATTTAACTGTATCAAATACAGCACTGAAACTCTCTGTTAATTATTACCCTTTTAAATTTAATATTGTCCCTCAAACTTTCTACGCTATCCCAGGTCACTCCCTCGGGCCTCGGGTCATCCCAGGTCACTCCCTCGGGTCTTGGGTCATCCCAGGTCACTCCCTTGGGTCATCCCAGGTCACTCCCTTGGGTCATCCCAGGTCACCCGTTTGACTCACCAGTGCCAGGGGCCTCATGGCGCTGCCTCTCTGTCTCTCTCTCCGGTTAGGTGTCCGCTCTGTGCCGGCTCTCCTGGGAGACCGTCCGCCGGCCGGTTGCCACTACAACTGGCACTGAAGGTCGCCGCTCGCCTTTATAGCGATACCGGCAGCCGCGCACGCCGGCTCACTCGCTCTCTTTCGACGACGCCGGTAGCAAGGCCGGCCGGCCGGCGTACGCGCGCGCTGCCGATACGGCCACCACGCAGCCGCCGCCGGCGGTGCCCTGCCCGGCCCGGCGGCCATCGACGACCGCCGCGTGCCGACGGTGACGATGTTACCGCCACCGACAGTGGACGGGGACATGTCAGGGGGCTGAGGGTGAGGCGGTGGGGCCCGGCGGGGTAGACGGGGGGGGGGGGGGGGGGGAAACGGTGATCGTCGGTAGCGGCACACGTGGGTCAGGCTGGAGGGATGAGTTCACCTAGGATAAATGGAAGTAGTTACTGACTCGTTCACTCATTCACTGGAATTATACTTATTGGATTGGGATTGACGGATGTTACCAAGGCATTTTGAGAAAGAGTCTCAATGCAAAACTACACAGAAGATTTACATATAATGTGAGATCGGTTCACCTAGAAAACGTTATTTGAAACACCAAGTTTATTTAATTGTAAATGAAATGCAAGCGATGATCAAAGTATTGCTCATAAAGTACACCATGCTGTTCCTCTCTAGATATTAACTCGTTAAAAAACAATATCAATAAACAAAATAATTTAACCACTGAATGGCTGGTCACCGGTCCAATTGCTCGGACAGAATGTGACAAATAAACTAGGCCGCTGTATGAAGCCGCACAGTAGTATTAGATTGAAAACATCAATACTTCTGACTTTTGCAAGTTTTCATTGGCCGTTTTCACGTTGGTTATCTGGCACACATTTTGTCACATTCGATGTGATTTGATCAAATTAGGTTGAAGTTCATAGCTGATCCTCAGTAGCTTTCAGTTTGGGTTGCACAAAAAAAACTACTGCGCTATTTAAAGTTACTTTTGTACCTTACTAATCAAATTATCAGACATAAACATTGAAATGAATTCATGGTATGAAAGCATTTGCTGTAGGCAAAAGAGATTTTATTAGGTTTGGTCAAGTTTGGTGCATGATCTAGATAACCAGTCGTGGAAGCGGCTGTTGTTTAGCGGCGCACCTATAGCAGCATATTTACGGTAAGATATAAATGGATTCACCGTCAGCGCCAGTCCCCGACCAGTCCTGAACAAACTGCACATTTGTCCATCCGAACTCGCATGCCGTATTCACGAGCTCACAAGTGGGCGTGTAGCCAACAGCAGTGCAGTTCCACGACAGCTGCGTCATGAAGGTCAGTTTCATTAGCTTCAAGTGCACACTCATGGTTACTTTACCGTAGCAGTGGCAATGGTGTTATGAAAAATGAACTAAGTCGTTGAAGCTATCATTAATTGAATACATAATGGAAGTACTTAGCTGTAAAAAAGAACGGCTGAAAAAGAAATACACATATTTTATAAAGGCAAACGCTCTACTCGAACATAGAAACAGTGTTGGTTCCTCGCGACTAGCCCTCTAAAACTATCGAATCGGATGTCGCAGCGGCCAATCATCGTCGCAATAGAGGAGAGCTCCCATTTATTCCGACAGAATTCGAAATATTCATAGATCAAGTTTCTTATCCGCTATCCAAAACTGTATCTGAACATATCCTGATGGTTATGGCCTTATGATTTTAACTATGAACTGATTTACAAATGTGAATAATTTAGCCAAAATACCACTTTCATTAGTTAAACCACATAGTACTAGCGTGAGCACTACAGCGCTCATGAGCAATGCTGTGCCAGGCTATCGACCCACACAGGTATGCAACCGGCGTCCCGTGAGAAGCTGGCCACAAATTCACATGGGTTTTCTCATCAAGACGTCTGAAATGGCAGTACTGAATTACGACGCACTGCACTAAAGCACGGGTGTTGCCTCTAAGCTCTCTGAAGGTACTGGAAGCCGTGGGGTGAGTCTATGAGACTTGACATAACGCTACTGAGATGTAAGAAGCGTTACCCTGCAGGAAAAAGACGCTCAAAGAGCGGGGCTGTGGTCGGCGCAATCGCACATTCGTTCGCCGGCGCGCCATGCAGGATATAGGGCTTTGCGGTACAGCATACCTGCAGGCGCTCTGCTCCTGCCATCTAGCGACAGAAACGGAAGGCTGTGTGCATTGTGGTGTGGTTCGCCTACACGTTCCACATAGTGTAAGTAAATCTATGCCACTTTTGTTTGTATCATCAACATCTTATCGTTATCACCAGCATCACTTTCCTCCTCAGTTCGAGAGCTGCAGCGGTGGTGACCACATAAATGTTGCTACGTCTTGTCGCCCGGCCCCTCTAGGTATATTTATTTGTTAAATAACCCGGGACGAAGCCTAGCAGGCATAGGCGGCGGAACGGGGAGGGCACCGGGGCACCGTGCCCCCTTTGGTTTTGGCATTTTAACCCTCGCATGTGTGCGGCGTTTGCCAGCTTCTAATGTGTAGGGGGGGGTCGGTTGGACCCCCCCCCCTTGCCGTTTGGCCCCTGATCGAGCTAGAGCTTCGCGGAAAAAACGAGCGTGTTGCCCGTGACAAGAGGAAGCCGATGATACCCAATTTTAAGGTCCTAGGTCATTGGGTGACCTTCCAGGTCAGGTCAATGACCCAAAGTCGGGAAAATCGGGACCTGTTAGAAAGTCGTAAAGTGTGGCTGCTAAGGAGTTTTCCGGGGTGCTGATCACGAATATCGTGTAAGTTTTGATCACAGATGATGTCTTTAAGCATTTAGACCAGGTCGGGTCAGGTCAGGTCAGGTCAACCAGTAGGCATCGTGACGGGTATTCGTAGTATGTGTCAACCGCCTCTGACAGCTTCGTAACATGTTACGAAGGCACCAAAACTACTCCGTAAATGTTCAAGTGGTTGCTAAATTCGAATTCAGCTTCAAAAACTAGCCTAGAAACATGTACAGCTCGAAAAAGTGAACCGAGGTCACCCGAGGTCACCAAAGGTCAATGACCTGACCTGACCTTCAGGTGACCTTGACACCCACCCTAATGCATGGAAGCAACATCAAATCACATGTTTGAACGTTTGAAACCACGAAAAGCTTGCAAACGCGCGGCTAATGCGAGCCGACATACGCAGAATCGCGATTCCGGCCAAACATGGTCTCGGAAAAGAGGTCACAGGTCAAAGGTCATTTGGGTCAGGGTCATGAAATTTTCAGGGTAGGTGTAAAATTGATCAATGTGAGGGTACTGAAAGTTTCGTTGCGGTCAGCCGCTTTTTACGCGAGGTATTAGCGAAAAACCATGGGGGGGTCCATCCGACCCCCCCTACACATGCGAGGGTTAACATTAGCCCTATGGGCGTTGCATGGAAAGAATGGGACCAAAAGTCGGCAGTGCCCCCCCCTCCCACACACACTTAATTGAAGGTGTTCCGCCGCTACTGTCCACCACGCCGCAATGTGAGGTCTGGCGATGCACAGATCTCAGTTCACTTACACAGAGGTCAATGTTACTCTGCAGCAGCCTGGCATGGGAACCGAGCTGAAACAATCAATACCGCGTGACGGTCCCATAGGGTTGACTGAATTTCGCATGAGCGAGAGGTCAATGATTCCATACGACATGAACTCAACATGTGTTTTCTCTATTCCGGGTGAACTATAAGATCGGAACTCTTGGCGGAACCCACGGTTAACATTGGAATGGCATTTACTGTCACATGCCGCCTTCAAAAACATCAGCTTAGTGCCGCACCATGATGTAATTACTAATCAGTCATGAGAGCGCTGCTGCGCTGCAAAATTGCTGAGAACTTTTTTGTCGGGTGTTTTGAATCTGTCAACGTCCAACGAGCGTTCGCTTGCAAAACGGCTCTTTGCGCATAATGAGTTTAATACAGGTTTATTTGCACAACAATTTATGGCAGGAAAACAGATAAAAGACGTCGTGCAAGTGCCTTGCGTCTGGATGAGTACAGCATTCGTGCTGTGCTCTGGAGAGCTTTTGCCAATGTCTGAAGTCTGAACCATCCTGAACTAAGACCCTTTTATTTCATCTTAAGTAAATATTCATAACAAAACTGCTTATAACTTTTTTGTATGGTATTTTAAATATATCAATGAACATTCGCTTGCAAAGACACCGTATTTGTGCACCGTATTTACTTTTCCATGCGTAGGTACAGATACTTGCAATAAACATTTTATAAAAAGTCATACCTTCACCACATTTCCACATATTTTCATTTTCTATTCAAAGTTTGTCCAGCGAACCGGACTTCTGACGGTCGGAAGCGGGCGCGCCGCGCTGTCGGAAGGCCTGCAGAGCGCGGGTCACGACCCTTCCCACGCGGCCCGATCAGCGAATCACGCGACTGAGCCCGGTCGTGAGTGGAGGATGCGCCGCCATGGGACGACCGCGAACGAGAGCCGCGAGGAAGCAATCAGCCGGTGTCGCAACGGCCCCGGCACACAGACGCTGGGGAGGAGCAGACAAGCAGCAGGCATGTCCAACACTTGCTGCGAGAAATTCTAGTGAGAACATCGGGGTCAAGTGCACACGATGGTAGGCTGAAAAATAAATCGTGGAATTGATCTTATTCTATTCTTGGCGCCTTATGATGAAAATGTATGTGAATCGTGCAGAGGTAACCGTCCATTCCTATGCTGTTAGTGTCTGTTTCGGTTGCGAACATATTTCCAATTATTTGCTCCCAGTGAAGGTTTTCCGCCGGTGGCTGTAATTACGCCCACCTTCATCCGGCCTTGTCATTCGTTCTGCACTGCTTATGCAACTGATCAGCGCTGTAGCACCTGTCATCGTGAAGGCACGCCCCACCCTCCCCCATGCGCCAGCCCTGATACAAATCACCGCATTCCAGCCTTCAGTCTGGTCTGAGTCAGAGCGGAGCCGAGCGGCCGTTCTCAGGGGCAGGTGGCCCCCCAGAGCGGGCCGGCCGCTCAGAGCGCGCTGCGAGCCACGGTGTTCCCCGGACCCCTGGTCAGCCGCAGCGCGCCCATCTCGGCCGCCGTTTGCGTAAGGGGAGCAGGGTGTCGGT